GTATACATTTCAGTTTCTTTTTTTTTTATATAGCTTACATTTTAAGGACAATGTCTTCCACAAAAAAGGTAATTCTTTTTCTCTCATGTACTATAAACATATTTATTTATTACAAGAAATTCCAATGTTGCCGCTAAATTTGAAGTCCTCGTTAGCTATGTGAAGTGAGGTGTCGCCATTTTTATTTTGTATGTTAACATTGCATGCCGCCGGGTAGTAGTAATAGTTTTCGAGCTACTCCGGCATGGCCGTAACCCGTAACGACATGGGGTGTGCAAGGATGTGTCACCGTACTAAAAGCACCAAAAATTTGATTTTGTTTACTAATAGCATATGAAATCCTTCCTCTTCACAGTTGTTTTAGTCTTAATTGTAAGACTTACAGCTTTCCTAGAAGCAAAACTAATTTATAATGTTATTCCATAATCAATTAAAATCTGATATTCTATGATAGTTTTATTAATTTTTTTTTTTTTAGTTAAGATAATAACAAGAGTAACTAAAGCCACTTAATTTTCATAGTTTCCGATACATACTTACGTTGTTACATAAATTTGAACTAGCGCCTCTTAGCTGCCACAAGCTAGTTGAGTGCGCACAGTTTGCGTTAATTCTGAATGATCAAGGGAAAAGGAGTATTCGTGGCATAACCACCCGACATTCATGACGCTTGAATCCGGTATAGGTTTCAATTATATCACGCAACTTATCATTATTATAATTTAACGGTAAATTGTGGATAGATAAACGATTACGCGGGACAAATCTAAAAAAAAATGAGAAAATTATATTCGGTCGTAACCGAATCACCGTTTTCCTAGAAATACAAAAAAAGTAAAAGAAACAAATTTTCATACTCTATAATATGAATTGGAAGGGGTGATTTGATGCATCAGTTGTTAAAATGAAGGGTTTATCAAAGTTTGGATATTGTAATATGGGTGGGGACATTAGTTTTTTTTGGAGTTCTAGGAATGCCTGATTACGTTGGTTTGTCCAGTCGAAGTCTTTTCCTTTTTTGAGGAGTTCGTTTAGTGGTTGTGCTATGTTAGCAAAGTCTTTCATAAATTTCCTGTAATAGCTGCAAAATGCTTGGGGGAAGTTTTTTATTGTTTCGTACTTAGCGGGATCTGGTTTTATGCCTTCGGGTGTTATACATATCTGCAATGGCTAAGAGTTTGGAAGCATCTGAGAGTAAGCGTATAAATTTGGAAGCATGAAACATCTGAGAGTAAGCGTTTCTTATTCTCAATAATTTGTCTAAAAATTGCTAGCATCTGAGAGTTGGCGTCCGAATTTGCTAACATCTGGGAGTATGCGTATAAAAATTGCCAACATCTGAGAGTAAACGTATATTCTTGTTTATACTTTTGCCTACATCTGAGAGTAAGCGTTTCTTATTCTCAATAATTTGTCTAAAAATTGCCGACATCTGAGAGTAAACGTATATATTTGTTTACACTTCACAATAATTGAACAAATATTTGTCTAAAAACTGCTAACATCTAAGAGTAAGCGTATAAGTTTGTTTACACTTCTCAATAATTGAACAAATATTTGTCTAAAAATTGCTAACATCTGAGAGTAAGCGTCCGAATTTGCTAACATCTGAGAGTAAGCGTGTAAAAGTTGCCAACATCTGAGAGTAAACGTATATGTTTGTTTACACTTCTCAATAATTGAACATGTATTTGTCTAAAAATTGCTAACATCTGAGAGTAAGCGTCCGAATTTGCTAACATCTGAGAGTAAGCGTATAAAAATTGCCAACATCTGAGAGTAAACGTATATTCTTGTTTATACTTTTGCCTACATCTGAGAGTAAGCGTTTCTTATTCTCAATAATTTGTCTAAAAATTGCCGACATCTGAGAGTAAACGTATATATTTGTTTACACTTCACAATAATTGAACAAATATTTGTCTAAAAACTGCTAACATCTGAGAGTAAGCGTATAAGTTTGTTTACACTTCTCAATAATTGAACAAATATTTGTCTAAAAATTGCTAACATCTGAGAGTAAGCGCCCGAATTTGCTAACATCTGAGAGTGAGCGTATAAAAATTGCCAACATCTGAGAGTAAACATATATGTTTGTTTACACCTCTCAATAATTGAACATGGATTTGTATAAAACTTGCGTACATCTGAGAGAAAGCGTATAAATTTGGTCGCATCTGTGCATAAGCGTATAAATTTGGAAGCACGAAACATCTGAGAGTAAGCGTTTCTTATTCTCAATATTTTGTATAAAAATTCCAAATATCTGAGAGTAAACGTTTCTTATTCTCAATAATTTGTAAAAAATTCCAAACATCTGAGAGTAAGCGTCTATGTTTCTTTACACTTCTCAATAATTGAACATGTTTTGTATAAAAATTGCCTGCATGGGAGAGTAAACGTATAAAAATTTGCGACAAATTAACGCAAGTTTCAATTTGTAGAATGTTTGCTATATAATTTGCATTTGGTATCTTATTCCCATGATGAGACCTTCTGTCGTTAAGTATAAATTACGCAAATCCTTTCCTTCCTTTATTTTTTTGTTTTCCTTTGTGTGCTCACGTATTTCCTCTTTGCTCAAGGCTGGATACGGGTGCAGGATTTCATTGATTTAAATTTTACGAAAGTTGTTCCCTTAGAATGACCTGGAATCGGATCTCTGTTGATATGAAACGGGTACGTATTTGTGACGTACTTTACGTAGATCTGTATCAAGTGATACATTTTTTATAAATACAGTACACCGCTCTTTGACATCATTGGAAATGTTTTTTGTTTAATGACTTTCTCTATGTTTGCTTTTCCTTTATCTACTTTTTCCTCAGCACTATTACTATGAACCATATGAATTACTCAAGTTTTTATTAATTAAAAGTCACTATAGTTTTTCAATTTTCGTAATTTCTTTAGTCAATACAGAGCCTCATTGAATTTACTTTACGAACATCCTTGAATATTTTCTATCTTTACTTGACTCTTAACTTATGGTTAAATATTTACTACTATTTGCATGTTGCGTCTATTAAATTGCAATTTAATATGAGATTGATCTTTATTATAAATATGTTCGTCTTCATTTGTCACCGTTAATTGAAATTGCGTCATTTTATTATTCTATTAATTTTCTGTTATATTTCATTTTGCATTTAATGTTCATTCTAATAAACATTGTTATGAAATTCGTTTTTACTTAGGATACGGTCCGTATCACTGGATGGAGGATATTTATGTACAAGAGAAATACACTTCAAAGTTCCTTTTATTTATTTAGTAACTGATATGATCGTGTTGTTATTTTCAAATCACATATAATTTATAATTTTGCTTAAAAATGTGATTTTAGAGTATTTTTTTCGATACCAGAGTTGCCGAGCTTCTTAATAATCAATTTATCATTCTTTTTAATGTACACAATCATGGCGTACGTCTTAGTTTTAAAACTTCTTAAGCACGCTTATTATCCAAACGCTTACTCTAAGATGTTAGCAATTTTTATACGCTTACTCTCAGATGTTGGCAATTTTCAGATAAATACATTTTCAATTATGGAGAAGTGTAAACAAATGTGGACGCTTACTCTTAGATGGACGCAATTTTTATTTTTGTTTATCAACACAATATGTGAATAAGCGTTTATGAATTTATAATTCTCAATAATTGAAAATGTTTGTCTAAAAATTGCGTCCATCTGATTATAAACGTCCACATTTGTTTATAATTCTCAATAATTGTATATGAGAGTAAGCGTTTCTTATTCTCAATAATTTGTCTAAAAATTGCCAAAATATGAGAGTAAGCGTATAAAAACAGCTAACATCTGAGAATAAGCGTTTATGAATGTTTATAATTCTCAATAATTGAAAATGTGTTTGGCTAAAAATTGTTTGAACAACACGTGAAAGCGAAAACCGTCAGAAACATCTGTAGTCCATTTTTCTTTTCTTAAAGTAAGGGGTGGGTAATCGCATATAAATATTACACGAATTTGCATTAGCATTACAAAAAGAAGAAGAATTAATCATATGTTTATAGTTTTCTGTTAAACATAAAATTCTAATTGTAATGTATGCTAAATGTGTCAAATCGACCTTCGATCTATGTGTCAAATTACAGTTATTTCACTTTGAGAACGAAACAGCAACAATAAAACAAAAATTACATATGTATCTATTAAATATTTATTAAATAAATCAAATATGAATAGAAAAAATTTGAGAAAAAACTTACTACCAAGGACTCTGGCAGATACCTGTTGTGTCCTATTCATCTTTACTTTTATTCCATTAACTTTTATATTTGAGATGTGTATAGTATTGCCCGCATTTCATGAAACAGGAAGCTATATGTTTATACTAACTTGGTTGCTTGGTACTTTTCTATTATTTAATATCGTCGGAAATTTCATGTTTTGCGTGTTGGAAGATACTAGCATAAAGAGTAAGTAACTGATGCATGAGTATTCTAATGGGAATACTTAAACTAACTATTTCCAGCCATTATGTTGACACCACCCACTGAGGTAGAGTTACGACGTTACTGGCGGTTGTGCAGTAAATGTGAAATTTTAACACCTCCTCGTTCATGGCATTGTGAAAGTTGCGATACTTGCATTTTAAAACGGGATCATCATTGCGTTTTTACCGGCTGTTGTGTGGGTCATAGGAACCAACGTTATTTTCTTATGTTTATTGTACACATCATTCTTGGTACATTTTACGCTTTGTGCTACAATTCGGCGTATTTCTGGTGGCTACATAAGGAAACCTTCTTGGATTTAAGAACTGCTGTCAAAATGATATGTCCGTTAATGACATTTTTAGCAGAATTTTCTTGGACCAATATTTATTTAGTCATTTATGAAATTAATGTAATTGCTTTGATTTATACCGGAGTGCTACTGTTTTTCCACGGCTCGAACATTTTGAAGGGTGCTGTATCGTATCATGAACGTCAAACGGCTAAATATGATATGGGTTGGAGGAAAAATCTAATAATGGTTATGGGAAATCGGTGGCATTTGGTATGGTTGTCGCCATTTTTAGATAGCCAATTACCTCATGACGGTGTACATTGGGAAAAATTCTTACAAACTTCAACGAAAAATCGTTGAATATTTTCCTTTTCAGAATTTTTTAAACAAACCTCGTCGTTTCTAATCTACGGTAGCACAGTAAACGTGAATAAGATTTCTAGCCAATTTTGAATCCGAAATGAAAGTTTTTTTAAAAAAGTTTCGCATTTTAAGAATTGTTATTATATTTATAATTTTCTATTACCTGTATTTATATTTTTACAATGTACTTTTTATATGTAAAAAAGAAGTATTAATCATTATAAGAAGTGTTTAGAGTAAATAAATTCTTCGAATAAAAGAATGTTGTTATTATTATAACTTATTTAGACCAGGAAAATGAATGAATTGTAGGACTAAGAAGGATCGATGAGTACTCGAAATTGAACTTCTACTTTTTTCGCTATGAGTAACTATCAAACATGGAAAAAGATAAAAAAGGTACAAACAAATATGCGAGTGAAATAAATTGATATAATCATTTTTCATGTCCCGCTGCTGCCATGCCGGCAGGATAGGTTTACAGGTAAATAAGCATTCCGTAGTCTTTAAGGAACATATGTTCACAGTGCCGGCCGATGACCATCTATCATGTGATTTAATCTTTCAATATACCCTCAAGTTTTTTTAAAAATGTTTATTCGCTTTGCGCGGCCATTTCGACGAGTGTTTTGTAAAAGTTTCTGTCGTGCCTATGTTCCCTTTGCTAAGGTTAGGTTATCTTGACAGTTCTGTTCGCAGTCATGTCAAATACCAATCTTCATAACATCTTTTTCTACAATACATGTGAACAGCCCAAAGCGTAAATATTGCTCTCATATTATAATTATTGAATTTTTTTGACTCAAGTTATTGTTGTCCTTCACCTTCGCCAATGAATATATTCTACAAAATCATTCATACCACCGTATATTCGCATTCATCAAATATATTTTCATCAAGATCACTATTTTCTCTGCTGCCGTAGATACCATCTGTGATTTCTCGACGTTTTTGGTCGTCAAAATTTTTCAATAAATCTGCTGTATCTTCATTAACTGGTCGTCTTATTCTCTCTAGCTTTACATATTCATCAGAGCATTGGAAACATGTTCGGCACACTTAAGATTCTGCAAAATTTCACTATTCCTGCTTGACACGGTTTTTCACACCATCCTTGAGGGACCATGATTGCCGCCTTGCCAATTGTTTTGATTGGCTGGCTCCCCGTTAGGCCTACACCATTATAAACTATAATAATATAATATTGCGTCCACGCAACAATTCATAACATATATATGTTATGAATTAAAAACCTCCTAGTTATTCAATTAATACGCATAATCTTCATTGCGACTCCTTTTTAAAGTCTTGTCATTTCCATCTTCTTCCATGCCGCCCGATAATACTTTGCGTTCTGTTTCGTCTTCTTTAATACGTTGCAGCTGCCATTTGATAATAACTGCAGCTAAGTCTACAGCTAGTTTTTTATGTTCTAAAGAAGCGTTCCGAAGAAAATCTAAGCGTTGCGTAAATTGACCAAATGTGTAACTACAGGGAAATACACCTTTCACAAATAGAAATAAAACTATATAGTAAAAAGTGCCAACAAACCACTGTCATTAAGAAGAAATTTTTACTTTGTAGTGCCTTACAATAAGTTGTAAAATATGGAAAAGTTGCTGCATAGTGTTGCCGTCCTCCATAGGTAAAGGCATAGCCGGAGTTAGAACATCTAAAGCTTGCCTTACAACGGAGCGTGCTTCTAAGGCGTGACCTTTTAGCAGAGAATGAAAAACCATACTAGTAGTATGGCTAAACGACGGGGCGAAGTCTTAAATAATGGTGCTCGATACGGCGACGAAGACTCTATCATAAGATTCTTTTCAGTTTGTAAAACCAGATGACTTGACACGAGATTCGTGTTCTTGGAAATATGGCGCCACGGCAGTAGGCTGAATTTCTTTGTAAACATATTGTATACCTTCAATCATCGTCTTACAACAGCGGGTAGTACACGGTCATACAAAAAATTCGGTTGCAAATTATCAACACATAGTAAACCCTATAATATTGATAATAAAACATTAAATTTAAACATAAATACTGAAACTTTTTTTGTAAAATTTTTTCTCACCTGACTTTCTAAAGCATTCGAACCGTATAAAGACGAAATTAAAGCATCCATAAGCATCGGTAAATAAGGCAGGAAAGACGACAAACGCGCCGGCACTGTTACACACGATTCGACAAATAAATCTTTCATGTGTTGTTTATGGAAACCGCTTTACAAGCAATTCAAAACCTTCAGTAAATTAGGCAGCAATGTCAAATAATATAATATAATAAATCATGAGAACCTCCGCCAATTGAACGGAATAAGGCTCTCAACAAGAGCAAGTAATTACAAGGATTCTCAGCTGTAAAAGCCAATTCCATCGATTGATTAACAATGTTGTGCTAATGAGCGCGCAGCATTTGTCCATTTTCGACAGGGAATAAACCAACGCTACCGAATACCAACTTGTAAATCCTTATATACAGGTTCGATTCTTCCACGTTAGTGCCCATTTCATGCATTTTACCAAATAAATATTCCGCAAGTGTTTTAGGAAATGGAGGAGAAGTTCCCAGTGGATAAACTTGTATACACTCATTAAATCAGGGGAATATCCGTGAGGAATATATTCTTTATAGTCCCTCCATCTTCTTTTGTTGGTTTTCCTCAAAACATGTTATAATTATCAATACGTACTTGCCATAATAATGTATTTTTGCCATTTTGTCAAGTTTCTTTATAACCTAGTTTCATATTTCATACGCTTTGGTAAGGCGGGCAGACGGTAGCATAAGTAGTATACTGCTCGTATACGATTATTTACATTCCGCATCCAATCATAATTCATGCAAACTGAAGTAATTAAACACATTGTAGAATCTATTCTGATCATAATTTATGCAAAAATTGATGATTTTTTTTCACCTTTTTTCTTATTTCTAGAATGCACCTCTGCGCTCTCTCTACAAATTGCACTCTCTTTATATACCTTGAAAAGAAAAAACCTAACGGATTTTAGCGATAAATCAAAACCATTTCATAACTCCCTACAGTTCTTCGTACAATGATTTTCCAAAATGAGATGTCATATGAGAAAGGGATGAAAATATTGTCCATAATTGAGCATAAGAAAACAAGATGGACAGATGGGTAGACGGGCTAGCGTTCGAAAGATTGAGTCATAATCGCTTTCTGAATCACTTTCTGAATAAAGCGTTATGATAAAAGGTGTTTCTATCTCAACACTCTCTGGGTGTTGCATACATCCGCAAAAACTTCGCACACACACACAAGTGGTGTAAGATGTACAAACTATTTGTAATGTTCCCTGAAAAATTTTATTCAAAGCCAATTTCAATCAAATTTTAACGAATACCATTTGGTGTTTGAGGAATATATGGGCATATCGCCCAAAGAAGTCAACGCAGTTAGCTGGTTAAAGAGAGCATTAAAGATGTTTTACTCATATCTTCTTTTTAACCGGTCAGATTCGGAACATTTCTCTCATCAGATAAACAATCACTATATTTATGCAATATAGTCAGAAAACCGTCCAGGCTCCGCATAGGTTCGGGCGTTATTTCCATTGATCTAGGTGTCCTCCGCAAGGTTCGGGCTTCCTCGGCATACCGGCTTCGTGTGCTCCAGTTTCACCTTCGCAAATCATATCGGTCAGGTCTAATATGACTTCATCTATGATGGGTATAGCCTTATTTAACACGATCACCTCGAACCCAAAAAATCCTTCGAATTCTAAACGGAGACTCTCCCGCCGCCTCTGGTCATGTTCAATTTGTTTTTTTATAGTCTTAGGCGCCCGCTGATAACCCACTTCTTCAGCGTACCATAGGTATGCGGAATAAGATGTACGGACCGAAATTGATGCAGAATTAGCTGACGATGATATATACAAAGGGATAGTAAAAGGAACTGAGTGCTTGTTGGAAAATCTGAACGATAAAACTGTGGAATGTATAAAATGAGTAAAAAAATATCTAATTTAAAAACTACTAGAGCAGAAATTTAAGAAAATTTCAATTTCTTTCTAATTTTAAATTATAAATTATAATCACATTAAAATTTTTGCTTTTATATAATAACACAATAAGCATATAGTGATGATCAGCTGAATCATCAACATATCTAATGGGCTTAAAAGTAGAAGAATTAAATTTAAAAAACAAATTCCTTAAATCCGTTAGTTTTAAATGATTATCTTTAAAAAAAAACACAATTTTTCACGTTTCCAATATTTCACAATAATACAGTTTATGTTTTAATTGTTTACTTTTTCAAGCCTCCGATATCTTCTAAATAACATAGCTTATGCTTTAATTGTTTGATTTTTCACGTCTTCGATATCTCACAATTAATTCACAATTAATTCAAATCATTTTTTGAAATGACAAAAAGAGTTTTCTGGATAACCTTCCTCAAAAAATGATTTGAATTTGTTCACCACAGAGTTGTGTTTAATGAATTTAAACTATCCCATTTTTCTCTCCGCTATATATTTCTTACAGAGTTGTAAATAAATGGTACGAATTGCTCCATCCTTTTTTAAATATAATCAGACCATATGTGTATAACCAGACTTCACACCCAGCTGAAAAAAGAAACAACTGAAACAAGGAAACATTTAATGCATGCTTATATAAGTGAATAATAAAATTGGAATAATAAATAAAATCCATACAAAAAATGGAATAGAGCAATTCGTACCATTTATTTACAACTTACATTCCTAAAATAGAATGGAGCAATTGTACTATTTATTTAAACTTGGCAGAAAATGAGAATTCTTATTACTAAAGGTATTATTATTATTAATTTCGCCGGAGAAATAAATTCTAAGACTAAACTCTTAAAAGCACTAGCATCTAAGGCTATCGGCTTTAAATTACTAAAGGTAAAAGCGATTCAAAATAGAAAGAACAAAAGGTTGGAAGTTTGAAAAATAAATTTATAAAAAATGACGATTCGTAGAAAAAATACATCAAAACGAAATAGACAACTACGACGACATCGTAAATCGCCTTCTGAGAGTTAAGATAAGGGAAGAGGGAAGATAAGAACAAAGAAGTGAATGAACTCTTGTTAATTTTTATTATATATAACATTTTTTGTTTCATTTTGTAATCTTTTATTGTACCATAATTCAGAGAAGAGGGATTTCATACATTTCTCCAAAAAACCAAAACAATAGTCATGTTTTATTCACTGAGCTCATGTGTAACATTTTTTGAAAGTAGGTCTACAACCACAATTTTTGCACAAGTTCCTTTATCAGACTCATTAAAGGTAACACTCACGCAAAAAAAATTTTAGTAATATGTTTATATGTAACAAAACCTTTTATTTTGAAGAAAGAAAAAATCAACCGCTCCCAATTCTTATTATAGAGTATGAAAATTTGTTCCTTTTACTTTTTTTGTATTTCTTGTGTATAAATTGAAAATAAAGCGACTACTGCGGTGTGTTAAGTGTCCGTCGGCAATTACTTTTATTTTGTATTTAGTTATTGGGATCACTACGTAGACTAGACGTGATCTTTTCATCAAAATCCTTCTCGTCAAACTCTTAAAAATTGCAATACTTGTGAAAGTATAGCATTAGCTGATTTGAAGAAAAGAATTTAAACTGCCTTATTTTACCCTCTGCCATATGTTCATCACAGAGTTGTTTTCAATATATTGCAAATCCTCTAATCAAAGTTACCAAAAACCTCTGCCAATGTCTCTCAAAATTACCAAAAACTAATCGGCATGTGTCTGAAAATGAGCAAAATGCATATATTTGTTAATGAAAGTGAACAAAAACTCAGAAAAACTCTCCATCAAAACTTTTATTTTGTTTTTACAAGAAACACCTGCAGCATAATTCTCTGTTTAAATAAAATTGCTGTATTGCTGTATACAAAAACCAAATAAAACGCAAATTTGAAAATTTAACAAATATCAATGTATTTTATTTTACTTGGACAATTATTTTTATGAAAGTATAAGGCCTCATTCCTCGTAAATTAAAAATATTAATTCATAATAATTCATATCTACTCTCCCCATCGCAAAGCCACAAATGTATAAAATATATTTAGCATGCAAAGAAAAAAACCAGCTAACGGTTTTTGGCGACAAATCAAAGCATAGAGATATTGTGAAACATAGAGTTGTTTTTGTCTTGGAAATATAGAAATGCATTAGAAACATCTTAATCAATCAAATATATTCTCCGTCCGTTCGACTTGATAGCATCCAAATCAAGTTTCCAATCAGACCAAAAGGCGACTCTAATAAGCATATGCCCCAAAGATCATATGTCTCGAGGCACGTCGCAAATAGTCTTTGTTTAAAAATTACATTTTTCCCTATGGGTTTGTACATAAGTGAAATGTTGAATGGAAATAATATCGATACTCTCTTGCGCCCAATCTTGTTAAAGACGTTTCCCAGAAATTATGTTGTGAAAGTTGCAAAATTCGCAACTTTATTTGTTTTTTAACGCGATGTTAATTTAAATTAAAACAATTCAATTAATGCTTAATACCTATGCTTACTTAAAGCAATTCTCCACGTTATTTCTTAAACGAATCTTCACCTAATAAAGATTTCATTTTTGATAAATATATCTCATTCAAGGTGAAGCCTTTATACATATTTTTGGCTAGAGAGGTGCCATCCATTTGATTTTCGATTGCGTATTGCAGACAAACTAATGCTTCTGAAGGGGCTTTATTGTTAATGCAAGTTTCAATGTACTCCTTTAGACAATGCTCCGTCGGTGTTCCTGGTATGCGATGTTGATTCTTATCCGTATGGTTGAAGACTTCAGTAGCTTTTTCAAAGTTTCCCCCTCTTATTAGCAAACAAATAATATCTCCAAGCATTCCACCCGTAAATGAAAGTCTTTTGCTCTCTTCGACTTTATTGTAAATGTCCAAAGCGATTTTAGCAAATTGTTGTGGCAACTGTTGGTTACATTCTTTGGTATCTGGCTTATTATCTATCATTATTTTCAGCAAACGTAGCAACAAATTTTCCCGATCAACATGATCGAATATTACCACATCTGACCATAACCGCGGTAGTAAATCAATAGCTCTATTAATTTCCACCATTTTTAAAATTTCTTCCATAATACCCGGTTCCGGTATGTAAACATTGGGAACAAGCAAATCGTACGTTTGCATAAATTCATCTATAGTTACGGTTTGACTTAATAAGGCAAAGTAATGCCGATAATAAATGGTTTCCTTGTATGTACTTCCAATTAAATCATAGTTCTTGCCCGTATGCAAAAGTTTATCAACTTTTTGGGCTAAAGAACAATCGTGTAAGTGATTGCGACAGACATCCATTGCAGTGGCGAAGAAATAAGTGTCCTTGGGATGCTGTATTTTGAATTCTTGTTGTCCAAGCTCATTTAAAATATCGACAATAACGTGAGAGACGGGACCTCTTTCGCGACAAAATATGATCAAAACGTAATAGTAGCTGCCTAGACTGGGTGTGACGCCTAACCGCTTTAATTCCGACAAAACTTGGAGAGCCGATTGTCGTGCCAATTTAAAATTCCCGAAACTGCTTATACATTCTAGCAACGCATTTAAAGTACCTAAATCTGGTTTCAGTCGTAGTTGATTCATTTGCTTCAACAAATCTTTACACAATTCCCAACGCAAATCGGCAGTGTCTTTAAGAAAATTTACAACACTAAGTACGGAATTAAAAGTCGTTGTATCCATCTGGAATTGCTTTTCCAGAGCCTCTTGCAGTAAAGCATAAGCTCGCTCCGCCTGAAAGTATGTAGCCATTCCACGTATTAAAGCCGCATAAGCCTTTTCAGTTTTTGGTTCAATTTCATGAAATAATTGTTCAGCTAAATCACCATCTTTCCACGTCTTGCGGTTACGCTCACGTGATTCGTTACTTTGTCGAAATGATCTTTCCTCGTATAAATCTTCAGACAAAGGTTCTTCATTATTGTAAAAGCTAACCAATTCTAATAAATTTTGCTTAGTTTCGGAATTTATTTCTAAACCTTTCTTTTTCAATAAATTGTAAACAAAGACCGCATCTCTTACTTCAAAAAGTTGTATTAATTCTTCGAGCGTTTGTAGCGCAACTTCTGAATTTTCAGTGAAAATCAACTTTGGCGCAAATGCTTTTATGTGCGGTTCAGCTTCTTGATGCTGTGTGTGTGTAAATTTTTTATTACTTTGTTAAAATTTGTATCTAATATTTTTTATAAAAATTTACCTTAAATAAATCACGATGTTCTTCTTTAATCCATTTTGCTGCTTTTCGTCCTGCTTCTTGGGCCATCGCATATGTACGTTTAGTAATATTCGATGTTGGTATTAAATAGGGGTCATCGTGGTACTTATAATGAGCAGCTGTGGCGTCTCGGCCAACTGTAGCGGCTAAAGCATACAGGATATCGCTAGGTGAACGATGTATACGTTTTGGTATTTCAATAATCTCCTCAGACTTGGGAGCTGGCGCCTCAGTGGAGGATGATATAATTCTGGTATTATGTACAGAATTAATTTTAAATTTATTTGAAATTTATAATTAATACCGGAACAGAACAATTTTATTAATTTTTATTTTCAATTTTATTTTTTATTTTCTAATGTTTCTTTCTCCTTTCGGGATACAGAGTTAAGATATTTCTATTAACATATAAAGGTTATATTTAAAAATCAGCTGTTATGTGCATTAGTGTCGGAGACGATAGCAGAGCTGCCTAGAGTACGCAAATGGGGAAAGAGAAGATCATAATAATTAAAAACGCATCAATGTCATATTTCTATTAATGTTGCATCTAAGAGTATCTTCAGCGAAATTTGAATGTCTAACAAACGAAAATGTTTCATAGAATTCGGAACGCATCTCGAAATTATCTAACATTCATACTTTTGAAATATTGTTGTATTTTAGGAATTATTAATTTGAATAAAAAATGTTTTTAAAATCGCTCTAAAATATTTCTTTAGAAACCTCTTATCGATTTAGGAATATATAAATATATTTTTATGCAAGATGGAATTTGTAAACATGTGTTTATTATATCACTGTAATTTGCTGTTTTAATTACTTATTAAAATTTTTGTTCGCGGCAATTCTGACGGCTGATACAATATATATTTAAGCTTTTCTTTAAATTCTTCATTCGGATATTCGCATCTCGGCGGATTTAGTCAAATATCTGAAGTAAACAAGTAAACACGCGAGAAGCTAATAAAAAATATATTGTATAAAGCATATAATAAAATTTTAAATAAAATAACAAAATATGAAAAGCGTACTGTATTTTGACAAATGTTCACCACCTGCACGCAGTTGTTTGATGTTAATAAAACATTTAGATATTGATATAGAGTTGAAAAAAATAACTTTATTTAAGAGGGAGCAGTTACGAAGTGATTTTAAAGAGGTTAGAAAAAAAGTTCTAATACTGAATTGCCATGAATTGATCATGATCCGGTGATGATAGTCACATAAACAAATACTGCAAAAAAAGAATGTCTTTGAAGATTTTTGTAGAATTTTTTTTGAGTTGGACATACGAGCCACCTTTCTTATTGGCTTACTTCATTTAACTTTAACAAACCGAAAAAAAAAAATTTAATATGTTGATAAATTATTATTTATTTATTTTTGATAATTTTATTTCTGTCAGATAAATCCTGCTCACACTGTTCCGACTTTAGTAGATGGCGATTTGATTCTAACGGACAGCCATGCAATTCTAATTCATTTTTGTGAAAAATATCAAAAGGAACAAATGAATTTATGGCCGAAAGAATACAACGAACGTATGAAAGTTCTGAATATGATGCTTTTTGAGATATCAGTTGTCTTTCGTAGAGATAGTAACTTTCTGGTAAATCTACAATGGAAGTTAAAGTGAAAGAGATTTCAATTTAAATTTAAATATTTCATTTGTAGTGTGAAGTGGTACACAAAACTTTAGCAAATGTTGACGTACCTTATCACAAGGAGAAAATACTTGAAAGCTATGATATGCTGGAGAAATACTTAGGCAGGCATAAGTTTATAGCCACAGAATATGTAAGCTTAACATAAAAAAATAATCGCCATGCATGTATATATATATGTATCCAAATACAGATACATACATACATACATATACCAAAATTTTAATATATAGATATATATATATATATATATATATATGCATGTATTTATATATTTATGTATTTATATGTATATAAATATATACATTATTTTTATATTTTACCTTTATATACGTATAAACGCGTATATAAAGCGAAACACATTTTGATTTAATGATCTTTCATGAAATGCGCTCATGTTTCATTTATTAGCTAACGATTGCTGATTTTTCTGTGGTTACCACCTTGAGTACCGCTAATATCATGTTCCCGATTGATGAAATTCAATGGCCGTTGTTGTGCAAGTGGCTTGAGTACATGAAAACTTTGCCAGAATTTGATATCAATGTTGAAGGTTTGGAGGAATTACGCAATTGGATGGAATTGTTTGGAAAATTCAAATTTCCTATAGAGCAATAAAAAATATTGTAAAAAAAACAAGAATAAAGTTAAAGTATATTCGGTCAGCCAAATTTGTTAAAAAAAAATTGAAATTATATTGCTTGCGAATCTTATATGATCAATAAATTGATTGACTTTTTTATTAATCGTAATTGAAAAAAAATGTAATGCAATGAAAAACTATGCAATATTCTATATGGGGGGGGGGACTATAGCACAACATAATTTTCGTAATCCGCTTTGTGTATTAGCAAACAAAATAGCCGAAAATCAAAGGGAGGTATGGAAATTCGATTGAAAAACGTATGAAATTATTTACAATTCAAAAGGAGGTATGGAAAAAACATATGAAATTGTTTTTTTTTTTTTTTTTTTTTTTGATTTGTTTGGAAATGGATTGGACCAGTTAAGTTAAAATTAGATCCATAATCCAGTCAAGTAGTTGAAAGCCATTGATGATAATATTGAGCATTGGTAGATACTGATGTGACAGAGTGTTCAATATGAGAAGCTCTGTTCTGCGATTTACAATTCAAAAGGAGATATGGAAATTTGAATGAAAAACATATGAAATCAAAGGGAGGTATGGAAATTCGATTGAAAAACATATGAAATTGTTTTCAATTCAAAAAGAGGTATGGAACAAAACATATGAAATTTTTATTGTGAAGTTTAATTAAATCAATCAGCAAATACCCACACTTCCTCTTTATACGAGAAAAAAATTATTTTTTCGAAGCAAAATTCTGAAACACCGCGTAGTGTTCTTTTTATCGTGTACATAATAAAAACATTAATAAAAAGTACTCACTGTTAATTTCTTACAATTTTCTTACAATTTTTAAAGTTCGCCGAAGTTTTGCTCTAATTCTTTTCAATTGCTTTGATAGCTTCAGTTCAAAAGTTAATATAATCTCTTACATTCTTGGATAACAGTAACATACCTGTGTATATGCAATAGACGTTATGGTATAACCTATTCTATACTAAATCATGCGGATGTTTATCGAGAAATGTGTAGCCACAAATTGTCTGCGCTCCTTTGTTGCTAATGTCGTTATCAACAAAATTCTATCCTCCACCAACTAAAAAAGGCGGAACCAGATTTTCCATAGTCTCGTAGCGTTCAACTTTTCTTATTAATTTTCTCAAGGCCCCGCCCAGAAACTTATCTTAATCTCAGTATCCTGAAATTTAGTGAACACAATTTATTTAAAATTTCTTATGAATCTCACAGTTCGCAACTCATAATCAAATTTCTGCCTGGAGAAAATCTTGAAATACACCAGAAGAAGCACAAAAGAGCTGTGGTACGTGAGGTGAGTCTATCTTAAGCCTTTCTGTGTGTTACATACGTCCGCACTAACATAATATACCCTGTACCCAAGTGGTATAAGGTATAATTATAATGGTAATGAAATTAACAATGGTATTAAAAATCAAGAAAAATATTTTAAATAATTAAAGAAAAATTTGTTCTCTAGAAATAACTATAAATAACAATTTCAATTTTAATTTATTTATTTATTTCGTAAATACAAAGCCAAATACTTACGTAGTTCAAATATTTTACAATGTGCGAGTGCTTTCACATTTAAATTATACTTGAGTAATTAAACTCCTAAACCTGTTGTAGCGCTGTTGTGCAGAAAAAAAGTACGAATATTATTGTCGGGCAAGGCCGATTATTAAATACCTACACCACTTCGCGTAATACTGTTATTCACTCGTTTTGGTAACAATAGACCAAAACGTACACCTTACTTGCATGCAAAGGCATACTTTTCATGAAAGCCCGGAGAAATTCTTATATGCGATAGTATCCAAACAATGGGCCTGTGTGGTCCAAATTCGGTAAGGTTAATTCCTACGTTAAGTTGCTATTATGGAGTAATTTCTTTCACCTTCAAATATTAAAAATTATACCTTTTTACTATATAAAGATTCAGTTTTCTTAGGAACGGCTATATGAGAGAATGAGTTCAAAAAATTGCCACGTCCGAACTTTTCATACAAGTTTAGAGTGTCCAAATACTGTTACAGAGCAAATTTTGTCGAGAAATTTTGGAAATTGCCATTTTTTTCCATAGTGGGCGAAGGAGTAATCAAATTTCGTCAAAATATCTCATAAATTGCAACCTGTAGCTTGAAAACAAGATAGATAGGCAGACAGGCTTAAGCATGAAAGGTGGGTCTACGGCTAGACGGACAGGCTTAGGTATAAAAAGTAAGTCTATCTTAAGCTCTTTTGCGTGTTACATACGTCCGGATAAATCTAATGTACGCTCCATCATAATTAGTAGGGTATAAAAGGAGAGTTGTAAATGAGAGGTCATTATCAATATGTGCATGTAGATTATTCAAGATAACTCATCTTTGCTTAAAGAGATTAATGGCTGTGTTAGGAGATCTACGATTTAGTGGGAGATTTTTTCAGATTTTTCCCTTGTCAGCCACTGAGATCGTTACGAATGGAATGGCTAATTGGAGATTCTTACTAGATCTACCAAATTAAAATCGCGGGTAAAGCAAGCGTGATGAATCAAATTTAAAGACTTTAAGCAAATAAATGAGAAGTCTTTAATTTAAGGTAAACTTCAAACGAGAATTTAAGAATCTATGAGGACGGATGATCTCTCTGAGACGCATATTGCAGATAAACCGTACGAACTTATGAATGGCTGATTTCAAATCACCAAATTATACAGCCGATATTCGGTGCCCACATCAATACAATAATTAATATGTGACATTAAAAGAGTGTGAGCTAGTTTAAGTTTGATGTTAATTATTAGGTAGAGTCTTAGCAAAGTCAGATAAACTTTTGCATTACTGTTATTTACATGTACGGTAGAGTGGTTTCTGGCCCTGGTTTATTGTATGTTATTGGTAAGTTTACGACACCTAAGGTTTAGAGTTGATATTGTAAAAATTGTTGTATAATAATTTAGATAAGAGTACGTATTAACACCCTTACATATTGAAAAGGCTGTTCGATATGCTACCTATGGACGTCCTGGTATGTCTTACTTGGTCTTTCCGGGCAATTTATTGCAAACTACTGCTCCTAGAGAGGAAATTTATAACAATTATAACACATTACCTCACGGTCTACCCCCTTTAATATATCCCGTTCATGATGACGTAATAAGAGCCGCTCACCTTCCACGTTCTGCTGAAAGGCCCTTGATTATCGTAGGCAAAGGAGCGGCTTATGCGAAAGCCGAAAATATCTTGGGACACTTTTTTGAAAACACAAAATTTTTCATTCTTACCTACACCGATGAGAAAAGACGTAGTTTCCGATACAGCTGCACAATGGCTCGAACATCAGCTTTGCAAAAAGCTGACGTAATTTTGCTTTTAGGAGCTAGACTTAATTGGATTTTACGTTTTGGACGTCCACCACGTTACAATAAAGATGTGAAATTCATGCAGGTGTTTTGCTTAAAACTCACACAAATGGTGAAATTTGTTTAAACATGCCATTTCGAGTTGATATATGTGCCGAGGAATTGAATAATTCTGTCAAAGCTACTGTTGCTTTACAAGCTGATATTAAACCTTTTGTTGACCGATTGTTCGAAGAAATGGACGTGGTGAATTTTCACTTTGACAACCACCGACCGGTGGTGGCACCAATTAAATGAAAAATGTCAGCAGATTCGTGAAATGTTTCTTTCTTTAGCAATGGATAAGTCAACTCCTTTGAATTATTGCATTGTCTTTCATCATTTAATCCCAAGGACGCTGTAATCGCTAGTGAAGGAGCAAATACAATAGACATAGAACGTGCGGTGTTGTTAAACGAAAGTGGTAACTTTATATTGGATTGGGAATTTGTCAATGAGAAGACTTACAATTGGGCAGATGTTAATCGTGATTTACTTATGATACCCGGAGTGATAGAGACTGGACTGTTCGTCAATATGGCCACCAAAGCATATTTAAGTATGTCGGATGGGCAAGTTAGAACACGGGAGCGTGATGCTTCCATCTAAAAAGGAATCGTTCAACATATACCGTTAATTTAATTACTAAATTGCTAAAAAGAACTAAGTTTCATAAAAGTAATAAAGGTTTTTTGTAAAATTTTCCTTTAATTACATCTTTCGTTGCTGTTTTACGAATACAAAAATTAAATCATTGAAGTCTCAATTCGTCAATTTACCAGTTAACACTTAAAAGTTTAAAATGATTTTTTGCTACGTTCCGGCATGACGGAGTCTTTAAGATAATTGAACTAGGACAGTAAGCCTTGCTTTTTGCTTTTAGAAAAATAATTAGAGACCACGTCCTGATCAACATGTCGATCGTTTAAAACATTATGCATTATTATGCATTACAACGCAGCAATGTATCCACAATACCCTGATCATACCAAGAAGCCACCACCGACTCCAAATACAAATATGAAGTGAAAAAGCAAACAACCCCATCGGGAAATGTTTTTGCAGTTTCTACATGAAGTTGTCCATAATTTCGTATAACGGCAGTATCTTCGCGGGTCTCATTACCCTTAGAAACAATCTAAAATATTTTTCAGTAAAATCAGCTTTCATAAAGTAAAATTAAAAATTAAAAATACTCACCATGGGTACAAGACAAATTATTGATAATAAGAACACTTATTCTCAGATGTAGGCAATTTTTAAACAAATACATTTTCAAGTATTGAGAATTGTAAACAAATACACGGTTTGCGCACGTAATTAATAATGATAATTATCCACCTGTCTATCGAGCAAAGCATAAATAAATTATTGTTAATGAAAAAATTTGTATTTTGGGTTTTAATTAGAGAGAATCTTCACCTTACTCGGATTAAACATGGTACCAGTAGATCTACTAAGAAGAATATAGAAATAGATGACGGCAGAAATCAACAAGTTCCGTAGGTCAAGCAGATTTAATATGTTACTTAAAATATACAAACAAATCTTATAACTAGTCCAATAATAGGCCGGTTATGCTAGTCTTTATTTTCACACAAACAATTTTTTTTGCTTAAAATGACAACAATAAAGTTCATGACTTATGAAGTTCTAACGTCTGGTAATGTCTGCCAATCAGTTTCATTATTTAGTTTAATAGTTTCTAGCGAATATGATAAATGTATTACTTTTTATTCTGATCACCAAAGAATGAGGAATATATTCATTTAGTTGGCTACCGAGTGAATTCCTAGACATCGAATACGCTCCACGTCTTCAATATACATGACAAAAAATTTTATATTAAGCGAGACGCTATTATGTCCAGCGCAGTTGATAAGATGGTCTTTTGATTTAACACAATGCTAGATATTCATTAACTTTACTTTCAAATGAATCAGTAGTCCACCGATCACAATTCAAGGAAATGGTACATCCGTCTTTTTCTGTAACTTCAGTGAAAATATTCAAGAAACGATTAAAAAGGATGGGACCTAAAACTAGCCCCTGAGGAACTCCAGAGTTAACTTTAACTATCCCAGACGAAACATTGTTAATAGAAACGCATTGCTTGCGAACGAGTACGTAAGATTACATGCACTTCTAAAAAAGTTGTGATGAAGCTTTTCAATAAGTAATGAATAAGGAAACCTATCGAAGACCTTCGAAGCGTCTAGGGATTTAAATATAGAGATATTATCTTCTCTAAGATTTCCTCTAACTAATTCAGTAACCGAAGTCAAGAGACCGGATTTATTACGATGAGCACATAATCCAAACTGGCAATCACGGATGGCGCTCTAGACATAAGCAAATATTTATACTTTCATGATATGTTCTATAATTTTGGCAGCATGCTAGTAGGTCTTAACTTATCCGAAGCTATTTCCATTTCCATTTCCATATTTTTTTATTGGTCCAATTTGGACTAGTATGCAATCCTGCACAGATTGTGGTAGAGAGGTAGAAGGAATAGTATTTGGAAATATAAGTTTAACTAGCTTAATAGAGCTTCCATCGATCTTAATTTAAATTGGGAGAGATTTCATTATTGAAACTGACTTTGTACAAAGTGGTTATTGTTCCCATTGACGATGAGGCTACATAACAGACCAGTATCATTGCCAGTAACGCCTCCTTCTTGCAAATATTTTTTGATCTCACGTAAGAGAAAATCTTTGAATTGAATTCTCCTTCTTTGTCCTACCTGCCAGTTATCACTGTCATTATCATGCTGACTATTGTGTTGATATGCTATACCTCTAAGTAGGTAATCTCCCGAGAGTTAAGCCGGGATGCAATCACGTAGTTGAAAGTTAATTTTCGCTTTTGTATTCAATTGTTTGGCAAACATTTTTCACACGTCATAGCTCCTTAGTACTCGTGAAAATTAGAATTAGAATTAGTGAAGATCATAAAATAATTCTATTAGAAAGTTCAGTTGGTTATTTACACAGTTGGTCGAATACAAAAAAATTTCATTTTTTCCGATTTAGGACGATGGTGACCCTTACGTTTTTGGCAAAAAACCGAAAATTTCATTTTTTTCATTACAACTTCAACGGATTATTTTATCCGAATATATTCAAATAAATTCAGATAATTTCATGACTGCAACAATTGCATTCAAAAAGATTAGTAAGAAAATTATATTCCGTTGTGACCGAATCTTTTACACCCGTTATCCGAAGAAAGACCAAAAACAAGAGAGAACTAAATTTCCATGCTTTATAATACAGAATGGGCGCGACTACCTGCGGCGTCTGAAGCTTCCTGCCTTTCTTCCTTCTTGGTGTTGCAAACGTTTTGCCAAAATGAATATATCCCCGTAGAAAGACAAAAAACAAATTGAAAAGCTCAAAGCTCAAGCAAAAGAAATTGCCTCCAAAGTTCATTACAACTGCAATAACTTTTTATAAATCGAAATTGAAAGGAAAAGTACTGCCAACGAATATGCAGAAAATTGATTTTTCTTAAATATCGCTTTTATAATATTTCTTTAATTTTTTTTTTTTTTAACAAATTGAAGTTACTTTTTTGTAAAAAACGCTTTGTAGTTTTTTTAAAAATTGGAGATCGAAATTATCCATTTTGGCAGAAAAAGGTATATATACCCTCGGCATCTCGAAGACTGGATCACGTAAAGGTCGTTAAAGGCCTTTTCATTTAAATACTGATTTACCAACAACTTGACTTGGATATGAAACCCATCGCAGCGCTTTGCTATTTGCTAAATCAAGTGATAAGGTATTACAAAGTAACAAAGAGAAGTGTTTTAAGAAAGGAAACAAAAAAGTTGCTAGCAAAAAAATTGGAACAATGCAAAAATCAATCAGGAAATATAAATAAATACAAATGCTGTGCTAATCATTGCGAGAAGTAAGAGAGAAAAGTTGATAAAACAAAATGTTTGAATTTTTTAATTCGACTAACAACTCAATGTCGTGGGTTCAAATCTCAAGTGCGATAGAGTTTTTCTTATGCTGGCGCTTTAAGAGGAAGGAATTTATTATTTTATAAGTTAGCCTAAAAGTAAACCGCCATAATTTTTATTATCAAATTAAACAAAGCACAACTGAATAATCTGTTAAGTCAGCTTTTATAATGAAAGAGTCTGTTAAATTGCAAATCAATACCAAAAAATCTGTATATGTTGCGCTCTACCTGTAAATAAAGGCACATACACAAATGAACGCACTATGCATGCAAAGGCACGAATAATAGTTGAAGCTCTACGTTAAATTAAAAACACAAAATTCGCTATGCCGACATATGTGCCGATCTTTGATTTGTAAACTATTTCATATGTTTCCTTTTGAATTCGCTATTCGGTATTAGGCGGACTAGAGATAGAAAGATTTGGATGACGAATAAATAAGCATTGAAGTCACCAGCGATAATCATATTATTACATAGCGTGAACAAATGCAACTTTTCAGATGCGTGAATACCTCCCCTAGGAAGGTAAACTACTCCAACGAGAACTTACTATTACTCCAAGGTAGTTCTGCAAATAAAGTCTCACAAACTCCATTAAGTGGACGTGTAAAGACTATCCTAAAATTCAAAATTTTGGATATGTAGAGTGTGACCTCTCCGCTCCTATTCACGATACATAAATTTCTGCATATATTGTAGCTTGGAATTAAGATCGCTACATTAGAAATAAGCTGCTTAAGTTAAATTTCAGTCATGACAAAAATTTTAGGAGTCAAGTTACAGTGAACATAGGGAAATATGTCTAATGTAGATAAAGGAAAAGAGGGAATACTTTGAGAATTTTGGTGAGCAATACGGAAAGTGAGGTTGTCATTTATAGATAGATTATCGAAATAGTTAACATCGGCAATAGGCCTAAGATTGTTATTAAGGGATATAAACATTTGATATATGATTAGAGTACTGTAACATTTTATAAGGAGCCTTGTTGTAGATAGGCAATGTTAATGTCTATCTATTTTCTATTCTATTCTATTTTCAATTTTATTCTATTTTCTATTCTATTCCATTTTCTATTTCTATTACAGAACTAAAGGCATACATATGTATCATATAAATCAGAATAGTAAATAAGGTGTCTTCTCCTTCTTCTGTTATTCCGCAGATTAACAACCGACAATTCGATAGGATGTGTAAAAAAGATCTAATGTGATAAATAAGATATATATATCTAAATAAATAAACAACAAATAACTGCAAAATTCCATTTTTAAATTTCAAGAAAATTTAAATCAAATCAGGAAAAAAATTAAATTTAAATTTCAGATAAACCAATATAAGCTAAGATGTAAAAACAGACCTTAGCTGATGCAAATGTTAAAACAAATACTATTATACAATTTCTCAATTCTTAAGAAAACGAAACAAGAATGAAAGAAAAAAACCTGCCGACTCATAAATTCAATTGGGGGCAATTTTAGTAGTTTTTTTAATGCAACAGTTGTTTACAAATACAGATTGACTTTTTCAATTAAACAGGCGGTTGTTTACAAATATAGATCGACTCTTTGAATTAATCTCAATTCTAAACAAATACAGAGTAACTTTTTATATCCATCTTATACCCA